ATTTAATTCAATTAACTTAAAAAACACATTTTACAGTTCCCATCCAAATTTGCACAGGATAAGCTGAAGTAGAGAGATGTTTTTAGAGTAAATGGGGAGACCCCAATGCGGAGGCATTGGTTTTGTTTTTGGATTAGTTGCCATGGTGGTAAAGTGTTGAGCGTGTGCTTGGATGCAGGAACTATAATAAAAAAAAAAAACCTATGCAATGCAACTCCCAACACAAGTACTGGACTTAGTTAACTAAAATTGAGTCACCTTCTTTTTTTTTTCTTTTTTTTTTTTTTTTTTTACAATGAACCTACACAACTTGCCTAAAATGCATCTTTTGCGCATGTCCAAGAAACTTCATGCAAGGCAAAAACCATCCCAAGAGTAACAGCGTGAGAGAAATGAGTGTTCTCTTTTCATAATCGGTCAACTCATGAAAAAAAATAAAGAAATAAAAAAGACTCGCAGTCAGATGACAAATAAAAACGTCTTAATAAAATATAGCATATAACTTAAGAACAAATTGATTTTTGATCGAGCCCTTCTGAAGTTTGTGACCAAAACTAAACTACAGTCTACTCCACAATTAGGCATGGGACGACAACCATTTTCAAGGTATATCAGTTTGGAAATGCCATGGTTTTAAAACCACCAAAATTCTGCAACACCGTTCCTATGGTATATTTAAGATTTTTTTATAAATAATTTTTTTTAGAACAACAGTATCTCCAGCAGAAAATATCTCCAAAATAAGCTGCTTTGAATTGTAAAGTTTTTAAAACAAAGGAAGACAGCAGAAGTCAATCATTCATTTTAATTTTTTCATCTGTCATGTTTTTTGTTCCAAAATATTTTGAAAGCATCTTAAAATAAAATATATTGTGTTCAAAGAGGAAAAGTTGCTGTTATTTACCCAGACTTGCAAAAAATATATATTTTAGTGCAGTAAATCACAACAATACCATGAAACCGTAAAGGTTATCACATCATCAGAATCGTATACAGGTCAATGCCTTTTCGCAATACACAAAAAATAAAAAATAAAATTTGCACAAAATCTAGCGTGACACCAAATGATTTGGCTTTATTGGTGTATAAAAAAGATGAGGAAATGTATAAACACAGCTTACAAGTCTCTCAGAGAGGACATTTAATGCCAAATAAACACAAACAATGAGAGCAGCCAACACTAAGCTAATGACGTACTCCCTAATGTTACTCAAAGACATGCAGTTTTATGTAGGATGGAGTCAGGCTTGGTAAAGCAAACTTTGATCTCTCATCACACCCCCTCAACACCCAATCAGAGGAAATGCCTCCGAAACCAAACCTCTCATTACTCAACCTCAGAACACCCTCTTCATTTACACTCAAAGCTTCTCTGTCCTCTCGCCCCATCACAAGACATCTTGTTTGATGGACGAGGCAAAAGCTTTTAAGCGCTGACAGATAGTGCCTCAGATCTGGAGAGTGGCAGGTTGTCAGATCAGCTTCACCCTCCCCGTCCCGTTCTGTCCAGTGAGTCAAATCTGCAGCAGAGCGAGCGTCTCTCAGCTGGGCTGTGCCTGACACCACCAGCCTCCAAACAGTCAAAGACCAGCACTGTACCATCGCAACCTCCACAATACCACTGATCCTGCCCGTATCTCTGCTTTCATCTCAGGAAAACCGCAAACCAGACTGTGAAGGAATGCTGGACGTTTTCCAGTCTGACCCGTCCCGGTCCAAGAGGACGAGATAATGAGTGCTCACCAGAGGAGTCTCCTACACTTTGCTCTGATGATATCCTCCTAAACATTCCTTCAACCCAGCGGACATAAACACTCAAGTCTGGACAGTGTTGCTTATAATTATGACAATTCCGAAAAGTTACGTTTCTGAGGTAGCAGGTTTTGTAGGACTGGAACAATATGTATTGAGTCACACTGTGTACCAGGCTGATGATGACTCAAGTCTTTAACACAACAGAGCCACACATTCAGAGTAATTAATCGCAATCAGTGAACCATAAACTAGGACATCCCCCCAATGCCATTGTATCACTGATAGACATCAAATTGAATACCTCAAACATTTCATCAGTTTCTAAAATAAAAAGGAGGCTATAAAACCCTTTTTTTAAATGTTCACTGTATAGAGAATGGAGCTGCACAGTAGATCGTTTCTGCATAGCAATATGAACATTCGCAATAGTCACATCCTGAGTATACGCAATCTTGAGTCTGGATTATACGTTATCATTTCACAAGTGTTTTATGAGACCTGGGACTGTGTGCGGGATTTAAAAGCATTTGTGCCTCAGAAATTTGACTGTTTTTAACTCTAAAAAATTAAGAAAGATAAATTCTATTGAGTGGTTTATAAAACTAAAACTATGCAGTGTTATTTTACATTTGATTATTCAATTACTGTACACTTGAATAAAGTTTGACTCCTCGAAAAACAATAAAACACTTTTAATACATAATAATACATTATATACCAGTGTTTCCCAACCACGTTCCTGGAGGACCATCAGCTTTGCACATTTTTCATGTCTTCTTATCCAAACCTGATTCAGATCAGCAGCTCATTAGCCGAGACTGAAAGACCTGTAATGTGTGTGAGAGAAAGGAGACATCTAAAACATGCGGTGCTGGTGGTCCTTCAGGAACGTGGTTGAGAAACACTGTTATACAAAATAAGATAATCTTTTTCTTTATTAGTTTTACAACATTTACAGTATAGAAGAAAGTATTTAGAATAATAGAAAATGAGGGGTAACTGGAGCATATGAATTTTATTTTTTTTAAGAAGATACTCAAGTTTAATGATTTGGTTAAATTTATAAGAGCATCATTTATGTTTAAATCTAGAAATAAATTACTTCAAAAAAATGTGTATGCGTTTTGGAAGAAAGACAAGGAGGGATATAATCTGAGAGGAGAGCAAAATTTTAGGAGGTTGAAAACAAGGACAATGTTAAAAAGTTTGTATGTGGTCAAACTATGGAACAGAATCGTAATCAATGTCAGGGTATTAATCAATTTAATTAATTTAACATTAAATTAACAAAAGTATGAACATATATTATTAAATGAATATAAAGATTAATAAAGGCGAGTGGAAAAATATGGAAAATGCATAAAATGTACAAATAAACTATTACAGACATTTGTTGATGAACAGAAGTGATTGAAAAAAAGAACAACAAGATTTAAGTTAATGGCTATTTACAATATTTTTTGGGGGGGGGTGTATTTTGTTTAAACGACTGCTTTGTGTATGATTTTATTTCTTTTTGCGGTTCGAAAAAAAAATCTATCTATACTTGTTTTTTTTGTTTGTTTTTTTACGCATGCATTACCCTACAGAATCATCTCAATCAATCTAAAATTTCAAATTCTTTCCAAATAATCTAGTTAAAATGTATTAATATCACAATACATCACAGAATAAAAAAATATATATTGCAATGTTAGACTTTTCCAATATTGTGCAGCCCTAAAACAGACCCTTGCAAAATGAAGTGGCCCTAGTAATGTAAAATGTTGGCGATTCTACACTACACAAAAAAATAAATCATACCAACATATGAATTCTTAAAACCTTTTTACAAATGCATTGTTTACTGAATAAGGTATGAATACAAATTGTGATTGGAGCATATTTTTCCATTCAATTTCAAAATTTTAAATGATAATTCGTAAAGAATGTTTTTCACCTAAAATGAAAATTCTTTCTTTCCAAGAGATGGGTTGCGGCTGGAAGGACATCCATCTGCTGCGTAAAAACTTGCTGAATAAGTTGGCGGTTCATACCGCTGTGGCGACCCCGGATTAATAAAGGGACTAAGCTGACAAGAAAATGAATAAATGAATGAAAAATCTTTCATCATTTACTCATCCTTCACTTGTTAAACACAAAAAAAAGATAATTTTTAAAAATGCGCCAATTGTCTTCTACAGTAGTTTTTTTCCTACCATGGAAGTTGATGGGTTCCAGCAACCAACATACCTCAAAATATCTTCTTTTTGTGGTCAACAGAAGAAAACAAAACTCATAAAAGGTCTAAAACCATGCAAGATAGAAACAAAAAATAGGCAATTTTACTTTTTTCTGTGAATCATGCCTTTAAATCATTTAACTGTGTGATAGCTTTTTTTAAAGTTAATAAATTTACTTTTTTGGAACTTTGGTGTTGCCGCCTTTATGAATAATTTAACTCATTTAGCAAATTGACATTTTTTTCATTAGTTTTCAGATTTAAATATTCCTGTTAAAACATTTGGCAGTTTTCTACAAATATGAAATATGTTTTCAGGATGATCTACAATTATTTTTTAAAGGTCCAATAAAATAAATTTTTTTAGATGTTAGTATCAGTATTATTCATTTTTAGGATATCTATAACCTAGTGTGCTCTAAAACAGACACAATTCTGACAAAATATAAAAACTGATGTAAACAAATCAAGCTTGAAGTTTGTCATTTCCGCCTAAATGGCTCAACGACATGGTGGTGTTTTCTTCACGTCACCTCACACTTTATACTTTCTCATCACATCATAACCAATCATATGCTCTCTAGTATCTGACATGTCCTGCCCGCTTTAAGACTTGGCTTCTCGTTTGCTTTTTATTTGATGTGCTTTAGCTCAACCACTCTCACTGACAAAGCTGTGACAAAACAAAACACTATAGGGTGTTTTTTTTAAGGGGGAGGAGTACACTATGTCCCACCCTCTTTTTGTGTTTGGGTTGAGATTACGTCAAACATTGAATGAAAATGCACGTTTCAAAGAACTTCACAGAAACTTTAAAAATGGACATGCTGTCGAAATGTGTTTCATTTTGAAATTCCCCCATACCTCACAGACAGTTTTTTTTTTGTCATTTGTTCTACTCGACAAATAAAAGTATTGATAAAATTCTGACCTGCAAAATTATACTGCAAAATTATAAACAGCACCAAATATTTACAAAATAAACGTGACCCTTAATTGAAGTGAAGCACTTACAAAAGGATACATTTTGATGGCCCCTGATTTAGTTCCAATAGCCATAAGCTGCAGTTTGGGATCATAGGCCAAAGCACTTGGCTGGTTTGGAAATCCATGTTCAACTGTCTGAGTAAAAGAAGAGAAGAGGAAGTCTCACATGTAACATACATCAGACAGACATTTTAAACTCCTCTTTTTCTAGAAAATGCTTAAAAACAAATCATTTTTCATTGTTAATCATAGCATGAGGTCTCAAAAGAGGTCAACCTAGCAGATCTATTCAGAGCAATCCCGACAGGAAAGGGATTTCCTTTTTTCCACAAAAAGAAACAGAAATAGTAAGGAAGGATATTTAGTAGATTTGAAAGACAACGTCAAATTCATCTTCACAAGCTATTAAAATTGATCTGCAGAAACATCTTTTGGGGCGGTTTTTCAAATGTCACCTTGAATCAACACAGTTTTAGGCAAAATAAGGCCTGCGTTTGGTAGAAAGATGCTAATCTCTTTTCACAAGTTGACAAAGTGTGACATGATAAATAACAGGACCTTCCCATAATGTTACACACGGTGTCATGATGCTTCATCAGTTTTGAGACACACACACACACACACACCTTCATACTTCACTGCTGTGTTTTTTTCCTAAACCATCTGTGGATGAACGTCATCAGCAGCGATTGAGAAATGAACAAAAACAGGAGACTTTAATACTCCATAAGTGTGTCTCTTTCTCTCTTATTTTCTGATGTAGTGCTTTAGATTGAGGAGGAGGCTTAAAAATGGTTGTGTTGTAATTGTGCCAGAGTTTGGTCATCAGTAAAAAGCCTACAATCAAACCCTTTCTATGTTTCTGGCAGGGGAGAAGTAACATGTTCATTATGATTTAAGAGCAGCCCTATTAGGGAGAGCTCTGCAAATCCTGGCTCCCAGCAACACTGCAGGAGACATTCAATGCACACATTAAAAACAAAAACAGTTATTATTTTTTTAAAACGAAATACTCATTTACCAAAAAAAAAATATATATATATATATATATATATTTTTTTTTTTTTTTTTTTTATGAATTACAATTTACTAATATAAAAAAGTTTATTGCCAATGTAATTTAATGCTTTAATGCTAAACAGACACATTTTGCTCTTTCAACAAATAAAATAAAGTTAAAATTTAAGCACAAACAAATGAAGTTATGATAAAAGAACTGAATAAAAGCAATCAAACATAAACTTTAATTTATCGAGCAAAATATGTACTTTACTCTTTTAGTAGATCTAAATAAATGTATTATGCATACGACAAGTCAGGGGTGTCCAAACTTGGTCCTGGAAGGCCGGTGTCCAGCCTATTTTAGTTCCAACACCAATTAAACCAACCTGAACCAGCTAATCAAGCACCTTTTATGTATACTAGAAACTTCCAGGGAGGTGTGTTGAAGGAAGTTGGAGCTAAGCTTTGCAGGACAACCGCCTCCAGGACCGAGTTTGGGCACCCCTGCTATTAGTAAAGCAATACATTTAGGTAATATAAATAAATAATTCATCTAAATAAATACATCATGTTCCATCAGTAAATAAAGGAACATACATACATGAAAGATTTATAACTAATAAATAAACAATTGAAGATAAATATGTTTAATAATTAATTATCACTTTCAGTATGAGACCTATGAAAGCATCCAACCATACATATTATAGATATTATAAATGTCCTACATAGTATATCTCATATTAAATTAAACACTCATTGAAAGGCCTAAAGCACTAAAATTAAATAAAGTTAACAAACTTTAAATAAGAGCAGCCCCATTATGGAGAGCTGACAAATCCTGGCTGCCAGCAACACTGCAGGACACAATTAAAAATACACAAAAAACATTTATTATTTTTAACATAAAATAATACTCGTTTACTTAAATATTTGTAATTTTAAAAAATTATTTAAATTTAAAAAATGATTAATATAAAGTCTTTAATGCTAATTTAATTTAATGATTTAATTCTAACCAGATACATTTTTGCTCTTTAATCAAATAAAATAAAAATTGCAATGTATACACATGACGATATATACTAATGAAGGTATAATGATGTAAATGAACTCACTAAACCAATCAAACAAACTTCACTTATTGATATATTATTATTAAAATAAAATAATCGTTCATTAATCGTAATCCAGTTAAAATGTTCAATTAATCGAGATTTTGATTTTAGGCCAAATCGCCCAGCCTTAGTTATCTCACCTTTAATGAAACATTTTAAATGCATATTGTGTGGATTGTATTGTTTTGTCTTTTGTACCAAGTGTGTGGAATAAAGAGAATCACACACATACAGTTGAATTATTAGCCCACCCCCTTTGAATTTAGTTTTCTTTTTCAAATATTTCCCAAATGATGATTAACAGAAATTTTGACAGCATGTCTGACAATATTTTTTCTTCTGGAGAAAGTCTTATTTGTTTTATTTCGGCTTTTGAATGTTTTGAAATAAAAATTATTGAAACAAGAAACAAACAAATGAAAACAAATGAAACAAGCAAATACATAATTTATAAAAAGTTATATATATATATATATATATGTAAAAAAAAAACACCTATATACCCCATGATGTATATAAAACAACTTGCAACATATAAAACACACATTTAGGACGAAAGTTACAAATGTGTAAATATGTTGTTTATTCCCTCTCACATACCACACAGTTCAGTAAACCACTGCATAACTCCAATTTTATGTCCCACATCTGAATTTGATTTAAAATGAATGATCATCATTTGTAACCACAGAAGTTACAAACATGGGGAAACTTTGAGGTCACTCACAATAGACAACGCGCCCGATCTGATCTCATCCGAGTTAATGAGCGCCACTGATGAAGATGAATATCACATGAAATAACCAACACATTTCTCATTCTCCTAAAGCTATAAACGACAAGCTGTGCTCAAGGAAGAAAAACAAATCATGCAACATATAAAGTACTGATCGTTTCAAAAAACTTTCATGCGGTGGTCGTTGATGCCTAAATATCTGGCCCTGATAGTTGGGAAAACACCGTTATATCAGGGAAAACGTGTTAATAAACGGGCATTAGACAGTGCAGTTGATTATTAATACATCTGCTTGAACTAATAAGCCCGTTTCAACGCAACCCGAAACCGCATGCATGCTCCCTAGAGAGAGAGAGAGGGGAGACCCAAAGCTTCATTTCCCACATACCTTATTGAATGCAAACAGATCCTGCTTGATTTTTTCACGATGAGGGTCATTTCCCTGCCGTCTGAACCTAAACTTCATCATCCTGAAGCCGAATCAGAGGTAAATCACAGCCCGCAAACGTCTCAGATCGATAAGAATTCCGTTAGGCGTCAGTCGGTGCAGAGAAACAATGTGATCCTTCATGCAAGCTCCCGTTTCTTTTGTATCCACTCCTCAAGCCGTGCAAGTTTTCAGCTGTGTGTTTATGCAGTTTGACCACAGGGCAAGTTCACAGGAACCACGTCTCGGGCGAGCCAATCAGAAGGCAAGGATCTGTGACCAATTCGCCAAGCCACGCCCCTCGAGGGAGTGCGTGTGGAAAACATGGATCAGGAATTGGCTCTGGATTCGCGGTTCTCGTATGTTTGAATCTGCTGGATTTGATTAAGTCAAAACTTTTGGTGACATTAATTAATTTAATACATTTGAAATTGTGATGTTTAGGCAATTCATTTAAGTTGTTTAAAAATGACTGAATATAACAAAAGAGCAAAACTGTTATTAGCTCAATTTATATTTTTTGATTTTATATTTTATGTATGATTAATTCATTCATTTATTCATTTTCTTTTTGGCTTAGTCCCTTTATTAATAAGGGGGCACCACAGCGAAATAAACCACCAACTTATCCAGCATGTGTTTTACGCAGCGGATGCACTTCCAGCCACAACCCAGCACTGGGAAACATCTATACACTCTTGCATTCACACCCACACGTACACTACAAACAATTTAGCTCATTCAATTCACCCATAGCGCATGTCTTTGGACTATGGGGGGAACCCGAGCACCCGGAGGAAGCCCACTCCAACACAGGGAGAACATCCAAACTCCACACAGAATTGCCAACTGACCCACCCAGGGCTCAAACCAGCGACATTCTTGCTGTGAGGCGACAGTGCTATCCACTGCACCACTGTGTCTTCCTTATGTATGATCACTTTGGCTGTTTATTATCATGTATTATTTATATGCAAATATATTTCATAAGATCAGTGAAAATTTTGTGTAGCAACTTTATTTACGTTATTTAAAATGACTGAATAAACCACTGCAAAAAATGCATTTAGCTTAATCAAAATTTGATTTAAAATGGTTATTCATTATTACTCTGGCTATTTATTATGTATTGTGTATATTTTTCAGAAGATCAGTGAGAATTTAAATTACTTATACATGCATAATTTAACGTATAATTTATTATTTAACTTAATTTCTCTATTGAGGGTTTTATTTCATAAAAGAGCAAAAATACAGTATATTTAATCAAGTATTTACTTAAAATAATACACAATACTATATACAGTGTGTGTGTGTGTGTGTGTGTGTGTGTGTGTGTGTGTGTGTGTGTGTGTGTGTGTGTGTGTGTGTGTGTGTGTGTGTGTGTGTGTGTGTGTGTGTGTGCACTGTAAAGCCCAACAGTCAACTTTATCAAAATGAAATGAGTGTAGTTAACTCAAAAATTACTGAAAGTTAATTCTAAAAGAGTTTTAAACTATGTGTGGAAGGTAATTAAATACCTCATTACTTCAACTTAAATGGATTAAGTTTGCAATTGGTTTAAGTTCTCTTCATTTATTGGGTTTTACTTTGCTCAAAATGATTCGTTTACTCAAATGGATTAAGTTCACAGTACTCATTAGGATTAGTTTTTGAACATAAATGGTTTGTTGCAATCGATTTCCTCAAATGGTTTGAGTTACCTTAACTCATTGGGTTTTACAGTGTATATTACTTTGATCCGCTTATGTTTAATAATTTACACATATACTTTAATATGACATGATGTATCATATAAAGGGGTTTGAAATGATTAATAAATTTTATCCAAAAAAACTTTTGACATTACATTATTCCCAGATGTATTTTTTAAGCATTTATAAAAACATATTTAATGTTGTTTAAATTGTGGCCCATGTGCATTAATTGTAATTTAAAAAGAAAGATAATTTAGAAGTAACACATTACAGCTGTGAATTATTTTTTATTTAAATATTAAATCTACATTCATTGTACATGTAGTGCATTTCTGTCCACATAGAGAACTTAACAAAAATGCAAACAATATATAAATATTTAAAACATGATCATCTCAAGTAGTGCAAATCTGAGCTTAAAAATCAGTGGCTAAAATTGTTTCCTCTTTCTCTCTCTTATAGTAAAAAATAAACTCTTGTTGATCGTGTGTCCAGAACCAGAGGTAGTAATGAGCTGTTTTCAATTATGGGCCCATATGTTCAACCTAATGGAATGCATGCAAAGTATTGTAAATAACAAGCTAATTCTTGAACCTGGTTTGAAACTGCAAACAGACACATTGCACTACCAATAATGACAGGTGGACTTCTGGGAGTGTAATATTGTCTGATTGCAATTATTGTCATAAAGTAATAATAAAAAACATGTGTGAGGCAGCGGTGCTAGAGGAGGGTGATTTCACTGGGCGGCAGAGTAAGTCTCTTCTCTCGCACCGACAGCAGGTTCTCCATGTGCATGGCCACCACACGACACAGCTCCAGACTCTGTGCAATCAAAGGCAAAGCAACAAGGTAGAGTAAACTGCATATTTTTACATTTTGGATGTTGAACTGTGTTTTTTTTTTTAGAGCTGCGGCAGTGTGTGATGTCATAATCCAGTGCAGCATACATAGAAATTAGGGCTGGCCGATTAATTGAAATTAAATTGCAAATGCGGATAAGCAAAGCTGCAAATTGTCATGCAAATCTTGTCAGGGAATCACGGTTGTGTGATCAGCAGTAAATTTACTCTAAAGGCCAGAGGGCGCTCTCTTGTGAAAATTTCAAACACCAGTGTAGAAGAAACCCAGGAAATCCCCATAGTGTTACATAATAAACAGAACTGCTTTCCTTGATTCAGCATGACTAATCAACACTTGACTGCAGAATCATCTCACTGAAGGATTTATTGCAAACTCTTGACTGAAGGTTTTAAGTAGCATATCATGATTTAGCCAAGTACAATTTGATTCTGGATTAACATGTATTTTGATCCTCGAACATCATTTTTGTTTGAAAATGTAATCCATGCCTATTCCTAACCCCTAAACCCAACTAAAACTGTACATATTTCCTAAAATCAGAGGGGAATAATAGTTGGATCACAATCTTGTAGAAGTGGATAAACCTCACCGTAACTCTAAACTGAACATAAACAGAAAACATATTTCTTAATTCTGATTGGCTGATAACCTGGGTTAAGCGCTTCTGGTGAATTGTATGCCAATGCAAACATCTGCATGTTTAAGGTCAGTTTTCTTTAAAAATCAGCGATCCCCACTGGCTGAGTGATATCCAATATAAAGTGGGTCTCAGATTGTACAAGAACTACTGCATTAAATTACATTTTTCCCCGCCATGTCTTTATATTATGAGCATTTATTTTACCCTAGTATATTCAATTTAGCTTGTCTGTGAACTACTACACTGTGAAGTAAATGCTCCTCCGTCTAAAAGCACAGGTTTACTAGAACCAGAATTAATGAAAAATTGCATGACAATCATGTCGAATTATGCAAGCCCAAACAGAAATGTTGTAAACATAGATTTAAGTATCATATCAATGGGTAAAATGGGTTTTGGATGCTCATTTATAAGGCAGCAGCATTTACAGTAGGTGGCTTGAAAACTTTGAAATTGCACATTTTTTTAAAAATTGCACATTTTTGTGAGAACAAAAGCTTAGGCTGCTAACTTGTTGCCTTGCATCCCTACCAGACATGAATTTAGAAGCAGCGTTTGTGTCTGAAGGCAGTCCAGGCACCCCTCAAATTTATTTCACACAGCATATAATCATGTACAGAGAGCTTTGATGATCACTAGGGGTCATTTGCTTACTAACTTCTCGCTATGAATTAGCGAGCCTTGGTCAAAAAAATAAATTTACACAAAAAATTGACTTTTAGGTTAAGTGCTTCGAGATGCCATCTTTCATTTTTGTCTCAACAGTCAGAAATGTAACGAACAGGATTGTGGGATATCACAGGCAATGAAGGTCACATTTGTGCTGTTTTTAAAGGGCACCAAGGTTACCTCTTTTTTCAGATTTATTATGAATCATTTGTGTCTCCAGAATGTTTCTGTAAAGTTTCAGCTTAAAACATTCAGCAGATTTTTTATTATACCTTTTTTAAAATTCTGTTTTATACATTTTTGTACTAGGTGGCAGTTTTGCTGTTCTGCGCCTTTAAGGCTAGTCATCCCCGCCCACCGTTTTACTTGCCTTTCCGCGTGCCTTAATCTCCTCCCTCGGCTGCGTCAGACAACAAACAGACATAAAGCAAGCAGATCTCACACATTTGTGAGAAATACTACAGTAAAAACTTTACCCATGATTATTTGATGCATTTGCTGTGTTAAGTTACAACGACAATGTCTTTAAAAGTTCACGCGCACACACACACAAACACACATAGCCAGTACGGACACGATAAGTACATACATACAGACAGCGCGTTTAGCTTTGCACTCTTTTTGCACGCATATGTGACAGGACACAGTTTAATCTCCACTGCTGTTTGGGTATCTGTTATGTCAATGTACAAAATAAACCTAATTTAACGTCCACAAAGCGGGATTGAAGCGTCTTCTTTTATAATTGTTTTGACACGCGGCTGTGCTGATGAAGTAATTCTGAAGTAAATCGCTGTAATTAATCACACACGTGCACTGTTTTAAAACATTTTATCACATTTAATCAGGCATTTTTTTTATCACATTTAATGACGACTGATGATCCTAGCGAACTGAACAGACCTTTTATTCCCGGTTGCATTGTGCTCGTCTTCTCTTGTTGATCTAATTATACACGTGACTACCTGGACATGTTACGCAGCTGTCAATCAATTCGGTGGGCGGGGGAACCGCACTCCTACGTCAAGTTGCGGTCGGTCTGAAAACCGATCCCATTGGTCCATTTTTTTTATGTTGTTAAATTGAAAAAAAAAGGACGGACTGTGTGTGTTTATATTACACCAATATGATCGCCTATACACTATACCTACACATATTTCTGTCCAAACAGCTTGAAAAGAAAATTTTTCACCATAGGTGCCCTTTAAAATTTAAAGAAGACATCTATGGAGACTAGAAGTCAAGCAGAATTAGGATTTGGATGTGCCTTGATGCCTTCCCACTTTGTAACACTGCCTCCAAATGCAGCATTTGATAGTTTTTGGATGCAGCCAATACTATTATAA